TATTGTTAACCGTGCTGACCCTCCCCGCGGGTTCCTCCTCCGCCTCCGCCGACTCCTTCGCGCTGCAATCAGCCGCTCCCATTCAGAGAGGCAACACGTGCATCGCGCGCGGCGGTTAGCGCTGTCCCGGGATGCACGCCGGGCCCGCTTTAATTCGACCGCGTCGCGTTTACCATTCATACGACCGTAGTAATTACACGGAACGTCAAGGCCGGAGGCTGCGCGCGCGTTAAAGACCAAGATCCCGCGGACGGCGATACCGGGAATCGGTGAATTAACATTGAGCCAGGGGGAGCTTGATCCGGGCCGCGTTTAAGGCTAGTCCAGACTGCGAGACTTTGTACGCTGTTTACATTATACGTGTTCTCTGCGGGCGGTCGAACGACCATGCCAGACGGTGTGTTAAGGTTCATTGAAATATTGATTGCTGCACCTGTTTCGCGCTGGAATTAGAAGGAGGATCAAGAGGAGACAGGAAGAGGTTCTTTGTTAAGAATATTATTCTGGAGTATTAAATGTTATTCAGGAATTTATTGATTACATTAACACTAGAACTACCAGGTCAAAATACCAATTTCTAATTTCTTCTTCTACGATTGCTATAAAGGTACAGACACTTCTTTGAGAATTGATTTACGAATTTCTCGTGAAGAAGCTGATTCGGGAATACCTAAACTGAAATACAAACCAATTGAGATCTTAATAAATTCAGAGTTATAGCTGTTACAAAGAAATTTTAAAAAGACGGTTTAAGTGCTCGGTAGTTCTAGTGTTAAGATAGTTGAGTAGTTGTGAAAGCTATAAAATTGTTTATATAGTTAAAGGTATATTACTAATGAAATAAAAACTGAATGGTCAAGAGTTTTCGCAGTGGTTATTTTAATTTTCTTTTTTAATACTACAACTGCTGGACGGGTTCAATCGACTCACTTTAGAATTCTTATTCTGCAAGTATTATGAAGGCGTTTTCGTGAGATTTTTCATTAAATTTGTGTAATTACTTAGATACGAGAGTAAGAGATCCTTCGAATCTCAAGAAACGTATTGTTTTAAGCTTGATAAAACATTAGAAACAAGTCACTCTCATTGCTCGGTAGTGTCAACCATCTTTCGTCTCATAAATCCAACGAAATTTCTCGATGTGTCAATAAGAAAATTAATTATCGAATCTATATCATGAATAACACTAATAAACTTCAGAATTTAGACAATTCCTTTCTATAGAAAATCAAATTCTACTAAATACCCATAGCGCTACTAATATTAACGAAAACATTTTAATAAAATGTCAATATATAAATTCCATAAACAGTATCATACATCCACGTCAAATTACTGTCTCCGCCTCCATTACACCGCAAAATAGAGCGCACGCCAAAAATTTGACACGTGTCCACGAACAATGGCCTTTCAGTCTGGACTAGCCTTTACCAGTCACGGGCGGCGATTATAAATAGCGGATCACGCGTTCAAGCGTTTGGTCCCGATCCCGCAAACGCCGGGAATTCGGATCTGGATCGTGTTCGACGTGTTGATCCGAACGAATCCGAAGCCGGGGACCCCCGAAACCTCCGCCGCGGTAACGAGGATGCAGAAGGTTTGCCGGACCCCGGCATGGGGAAGCCGTGCCACCGGCATTAACACCAATTGTGCTTTCATTAATTTTCATCCGCACTTTCGTGTCCGCGCGTACACGCTCAACGCCCGCACGAAGGTGACGGCCGGGAATCCCGGATCGAGAACCAGTTCCACGGCTTACATTCGACGATTTGCCTTGGATTTCCTTTGGAGACGAATATCTGAATTTTACGAGGTGTTATATTTAATTTGTTAAACAATCTTTTCGTTCTTTCCCCCATACGATGTGTGTGACGCGATATATTTCTGAATAAGTGCTGGAAGAAGCGAAGAGGAAGGAAGTAATAAAAGAGTTGAAGTTTAATTGGATAAAATGAAACTTGCCTTTGTACCGAGAGAAATTGTTCAGTAAATAAATCATGGATATTTATGTGATTTCTAGTTGCCTTTCATGGTTCTGTCATGATATATGAATTTCGATTGCTGGAGGAATTTGCGCTGACTGATTGCTTGTTCCTTCATAGTGGATAACGTTGGTGATAATGGAGGGCTATAAATAAGCATCGTTGTGTCTGAATGAGTCACTGAATTCGTAGGGACTGGAGAAATATAGTGATTTCTACATATTAAAAAAGACTATAATAAAGTAATCTAAATAGTGTTGACGTCATATAGTCACTATCTAAATAGAAAAAGAATTAAATGAAGAACAAGATTCTTGAATAAACTGAATTCTCCGAAAGAAATACCGAGTTTCCTTAACGCAATTAAAAATCAGGCGTCGATCTTCCTTGATCAAGCATCAAACTTTGTACATTCTTGTTTCGCAGACTAATGAACCATCATTACACAGCAGAAAGAGGCGTGAACGCATTAATTCAAGTATCGCGAAGAAAATGTACATCCCCTTAGTACAGCTTAGAAAGACGCTTGGGAACTTCAGGAGGATTCTGGGCTTCGGAGCTTCGACGAAGAACCAGGCTCCGTCATATAAGCTTCCGAGCTTCAGCGGTGAAGTCCAATTATCGTGTACTACATGGCTCGGCAAGAAACGCGACACGGTAGCACTTTGAATGCCAAACGTGAAATTTTCGGAATGAAAGGTACGTTTACTTTACCAACCGTTACACGAGGCAAAAACATAGTAGAAAAAATGATTGATGGACAATAAGAGTAGAAGATCCACATTTTGCAATGAGCTGAGGCAAAGAATTGCACGATTTTTGGTTTCAAAACTACAGGAATTCGAAGATTAAGAATTTTTTAATTACAATACAATGATTATTTAATTCTGTGCAGTAGTGTGTATTTGTTATGTCTAAACTTTCACTAGTGTATTCAATACGTTAGATACTGACATGAATAAGTTCGGCTGCAAATATAAGTATATTTTAATTATAAATTGATTATAAATTTGTAATTATAAATAGAAGTTTCGTTTGTATGAAGTAACAAAATTGTTGTGCTAAAATTACAGAAATTAATAAGGTTTAATATTGCTGTATCTTTTAGGTGCATGCGATATTTGTTAGTATTATTAAATACTATTATAAATTTCAATACCACTAACAAATATTGCGTACAACCAAAAGATACAACAATATAAAATCTCATAAATTTCTTTGAATTCAGTACTACAATTTTGTTTCTCTATATAATCGAAAAACTTTGGTTAACAGTCGAATGACAATAATTTCATGTTCACGAGCGAATGGTAACGAAACTAGTACATAACTCGAAATCCGTGAATAACACGTTTACCGAGAAAACTCGATACTTAAAGCGTTAATAACGTCGATGATAGGTCTCAATATAAGAAAAGTGGAATCGCATTATGCACCAAGAGGCAGGAACACCTGTGGGTACAGCAATCAGGGCGATTTTCGTCGAGAAGCCAACGCGCACGTGCGCGTCCTAGCTTCGTGCAGCTTGTTAATTAACTCGCAATCTGGTAATTGGCCGCGATAATAAGTTGCAGTTCTGGCAAGCGGCACTCGGTCCTGCGGGTCATCGTCGGTACTATCAAGCCCGTTGCTCCGCTCGGCGTCGTCTCCCGCAGGAAACGCCGGGATGATAAAGAAGACAAAAAGAAAAAGGACAGTTCCACGGGTCAAATTGCTTTAATCCGTTCCGTGGGAGCCATCTTGGGTCGCGGTTGTACGGACACGAGGGAGGATTACGAGATACAGCTGCGAAAATTCAACCCAACCGGAGATTATCCCGCGACGGGTTTAATCGGCCGCTTTACCTTGAAAAATTCGAGTTAACCCTTGACTGATCGCTCGCGAGATTTCTCGTTTTTACTTTCCCCCTGTGAGCAATTGGTGAATGTTTTTAAACCTTGGGGAAAATCGCTGGAGGTTCTGTTATTTTAAATGGTAGTGATGGTAGTTACTGACAAATTAGGTGAATAGATATTGAAGTTTTCGGAATTAGACTATTATCTTTGTAATTTAATTTATTTCTTGATATGATAAAGAATAGAATACGGTTTAACGAAATTTTTATTCTATTTCTACATTGATGAGATGCTTACTTAAAGAACTACATTATTATTTAAATTCAGTTTTTATAATTTGATGTATAACAATCAAATACTACAATAATTCACACAAAATTCTCTGCAACGAGGTACACCGAATTTTTCAAGAATCACGCGCATCTCATAAAACACGGATAATCGGTATGCGCAACCTCTAACATCAGATAATAAAATAGAAATTTCGAGACAGCCAGGAAAAAACAATTTCCCTATAAAATTCGAGGCATTAAGAATTCAACGCGCACGTTTCTAACGTTCAACGAGAATTCATAAAATCTGAATAGATCGTTGAGTGGAATCACAACCCGGACGGTTTTCTTGACACGCCACGTACGGGGGATTATCTTTGCCTAAATCTTCGGCTGAAAAGTTAAACCGCTGGAAAATTGTCTTCGGAACGGGCAATCAACCCGGGGCAACATTTTATACCGGGATTCCGTAATGGCATAGATACCGCGGCACGATCGGTTCACTTATCTGATTTAAGCGCTTTAAACTTCCTCGACCGGAATTATCCGAAG